CCCAGCCACCGATGCCCGCCCGCTCGCCCGCTCGCCTCCAGCCGTGCCTTCCGGGCAGCCAGGGCTCGGCCCAGCGCGAAGCTGACCGTGGCCTCCCTTTGCTGGCTGGCGGGTGGCTGCCTGGCTCGCTGTCTGGCCTGGCGTGCCTCTCTGGCTTTCTTCGGAGCCCTGCAAATTTCGAAATTTGAATTCACCGCGTTCGACCTGCGAGCGACCCTTTTGAAATGGGGGCAACCCTCGACCTGGAATTTCAAGTGCGAATACAAGCCAGGCCCAGGTCCACTTCAACGCCGCCTGGGCACTACGGAATCTAAAATGGCCGTCCGAGCTGGCGAAACTAGCGCGAGGCGAAAAATTCCCAGGCTCTCTCCCAGCTCGGCCGTGGCCGTGGCCTCGCTTCCGTGTCCCGGGGGTTTGCCCAGCCCTTTGCCGAACGGCCTCGGCCTCGAGCGCGCCGCTGAGCTCCAGGCGCGCCCCGCACGCAGATGCTTGGCTGCGGTTGCCCGATCCGCTGTCGGCCTCGCATGCCATCTCGACTGCCGCCGTGGCTGTGGCCCGAGGCTGGTGGTAGCCCCATTGCGTCGACCAGCTCAGCAGTCGACCTCGGACTCGGCCAGCTTCAGCGGCGTGCTCCCTGCTACGGCGAGCCTGTGGTCTTCCTCGGACTGCGCAAAGCTTCGGGAGCGGCAACACTGGCACACGTGCGCACGCGGGCCCACCGATACAGGCTCGTTCGGTCGTCGCACACGGCCGCTGGTGGCAGGCGGCCCAAGACAGGCAGTAGTGGGGTATGGGGGATTTCGGCCCGGTTCCGACGCACGGCTGGGGCTAACCCTATCACAACGACGCGGGCCTCCTCAACTCGCCAGACGGTCGACGACGGCCTTGACGCCCGAGGCTGGTGGATGGCCGGCGTTCGACGGCGAGGCAGACGACGCAGCGCCGGCGGCGGCTCCCGCCGAGGCCCGGTCCGCCGCTGCTCCGCCCTCTTCGCCGTCGTCGCTCCAGCTCTCGAGCTCCTCCTCCTCGAGCACCGGGTGGTAGCGGTACTCGGATCTCCCGGATCCGGCGCCGCCACGAGACGCGCCCGACGACGCCTTGGACAGCGGCAGGTTCCGGTAGGTGCCGTGACGCAGGTGCAGCGCGTACGAGTAGAGGACGAGGGCAAAGTAGATCTGCAGTGGGCGACCGCAATCGCAATCGCAATCGCAACGGCAATCCGGGGCAGGCACGAGGTCCAGAGGAGTGCGGCGGGGAACCGCGGTCAGCGAAGGCCCGGACTCAGCCACCACGACGGACGGCACGGCCCGACCCTCGGGGTGCTCACCTTTACCAGCCAGCCGAACGCCAGCACGGCGGATGCGAAGCCGCGCTCCTCTGCCCAGATGGCCTCTGCGCTGGCCTTGCGCGCGTCGCCGGTGAGCTTGTCGTGGTGGAGCTTGGCAATCTCCTCGGGCGTCGTGTACTGGCTCTCGATGCTCTCGATGAGGTCCATCAGCCCGGTCTGGTGGTCCGACTGCTGCGTGGTCGGCGTTCCATCGTGGGCGGTGAAGAGGTACCAGTTGAAGGCGAAGAGGAGCGTCCAGAAGCTCGAGATGAGGTGGTCGAGGGTGAAGAGGTGGGCATAGGTGAGCACCTGCTGCGGGTTCTCGTCCGAGATGCCCTTGAGCCCCCACAGAAAGACGACAATCGTGGCGATCGAGTAGACGTAGAGGCCGACCTGGGTCAGCGTGCCGCCCTGGAAGACGGCGATGATGCCGTAGACGCCGGCGATCTTGTTGAAGAGGGCAAACAGCGTGAGGATCTGCGCGCCAATCTTGAGGTCCATGAAGCCCAGGAAGGTGGTGATGGCATGGTGGAACGACGGCAGGCTGGGCAGCCGCAGGTAGAGGCGCGACATGCTGGGCGGTCGGCGGCGAGCCAGGGCTTAGGGTGACGAGAAGCGGCCAGTGCCGAAGGTCGTCGTGGCCGGAGCTGCCGAAGCACAGCTAGAATCGAGGGCGGGCCGTGGGTCTTGCTCGAGAAGGCAGGTAGGTTCGGAGGCCGCGCGGCTGCTTTCGAAACGACGAGCTGAGGTGGCCAGGTGACCAGGTGACCAGGTGCTGCGACTGCTGGTGCTGGTGTCGGTGCTGGTGTTGGTGTTGGTCTCGGTGACGGGTCGGTCCGATACGGCACGGCGCGCCAGAGTAGTGTTGGGGTGCTGGACTGTGCTCCTCTGGCGGGCGGTCGTGGCGGTTTGCGAAGATGCACGGACGGGCTCGGCGCCGGGGCCGGAACCGACCCACCGCCAGCCAGCCAGGCAGGCAGGGGGCGC